AGGCAGCGCCGCCCCGCGCCCCTCTGGGGTTCTGTGCCAGGGCCCCCACCGGGCGGGGGCGGTGCAGCTGCGGCCTGAGGCTGAGCTGGAGGCACTTCGGGAGGCAAAACCTCTCCCCTCTTGCGTGCCTCGCTTCGCGCAATCCCGCAAAAATGACTCAATACCGACTTGGCGTGGATTTAAATGCAGGCAGGCGTAAGCTGACTTGATAAGGGCTTGTGCAACTTGTGGTTTTTAGATTAACCCAGCTGCAGCCATCTAAATCATATAGCAACGGTCTGAGAATCCTTTGTGTTAGCTTTGTGCAAATATTGGGTTTGGGATTTTTGGAGACCTCTATCAGTAAGTAGCTGCCTAGGTCAAGGCATGCTGCTTTAATACAAGCACTTCTCAATTAAACAGGCTTAAACAGCAAGGCAAACTGTACAAGTGTGGAATTGCAATACTTGGTGGGGAGGGGCAGTTTGCTTAACTGGATTGGCTACTAAAAATAGCATTGGAAAGCCGAAACAGAAGAAAACGACACAGATGTGTGTAACAGGAGAAACTTTTATAGGAGCTGCAATTAAATGTCACATCTTGGAAGGACTGTAGCAGAAATATCTCTGCAGGTACACCACGCAAAATCTGCCCTGCTACTTCTGTTGCTACGTTTCTGTCACTGGCAGCTCAGACTAGGAATAACGTTTAGAATGAAGCCTGTCTCTATTGACCTGGTGTAACATTTGAGTAACTAGAATTGGAAAGGAAGAAGGTCATTTGTTTGGAGTGCTGGCCTCCTGACCTAGTTGCTGGTGAAGTTTATTGGGTGTTGACTGAATTCAAAGCTGGCAGTGAAGTGTACAGGAAATGGTAAGTATGGGCACTTGAGTCTCTTTTTCTCGAGATGGACAGCATTGAGGGAGGAAAGAACTGACTTTCGTTTTAAGAGATGATCCTTTTGGTGTGGCTGGACCTTAGCATTATTAATGTTTGCCAAGGTGAAATGGTGCTATAGAGCTGTTAATGTACCAACATTTCTGTAAGTTGCTCCATTCTTGTGAAGCAGTAACTAACAGGAGTTGGCTAGAAAAGCAATCCGTGTAAAAGTGAGCTAGTAAGGGTTTTTGTTGGAGAGAAGTGGAGCTGCCAACTAGTTCTGCAGGTCACATTGCCATGTGAGCAGCGGAAGGGTATTTTTGTGGCTAACGTACAGGCTACTGTCTGGTTCCATTTGTTAATCCTAAGAATTTTCTTTAAGGAGACAGAGAAGAAGTAAAAACACAGAGGGGACTTTATGTGAAGAATAACCATATACACATCCATATCTCATTCATTTCTTCTCTGTCTGGCTACAATGCGGCCTGTAATGAAGTGAGTTAGAATTCAGTGCTTATACCCCTAGATGATAGAAGAAATGAAGAGCTATATGATAGAAACATACCATTAACTTGATGATAATGAGTTCTAAGCTGTATGCTACTAGCTTTTGATTTCATGTCTCTGTGTGTAATGGACCTTAGGGCATTTCCGCTTTACTTTAGCACTGATGATGTTCTTTAATCAGATAGCTATCGTGCAATGTCAGTCTCTTCAGAAGGTACGATAAAATGAAGTCACGCTATTTGGTGCTCTTTTGCTCAAATGCTGCTGTCTTAAGGGAACTTAACAGAGAATATCTCTGTTGCCACCTATTGGAGCATTCCAACATACTCCCTTCAGCATCAGAGGTGATCTTCTGACTACAGGTTAGTAAGTAAGAGCTGCAGAGGTGAACCACTGTATTTTATTGTAGTTAAAAGCTAAATAGCCTTGAGGAAAGGAGTAGGTATTACGTACACCCAGACCGTATGAACTAATTCTACTGCTTATCCTGTCTCTCAGACCGCCCTGGTATGCTGGACTTCAAAGGCAAAGCAAAGTGGGATGCCTGGAGTGCATTGAAAGGTAAGTGTCTGCTTAAAAAATAAAAATGAATAAATAAAACCACAGGCAAACTAGTCAGAAAAGCATATGTGGTTCAGCAAGAAATAAAATAGTGTTGCCTTATAAGACAAGAGTTCTAGAAGTTCAGAATGCCGTGATAATAAACTTACTTTTGATTACCTCTGCAAGGCAGAAGTAGTCCTGAAAAATATAGCCTGTGTGAAAGGGAATTAAGGTGCAAAATGCCTGGCTGGCCCAAGATGTTACAGATGAACTGTAGCAGCAGCAGAAACCTAAATCTGTTTTCCAGGTCCCAGCCTAGTACCCCAGAAACTGAGCTCTCCCTCCAGTTGTTGTGTTTCTTCTAAAGCTTTCTTAACTGGAAGATGCAGCTGGGCTCTCTGCTCTAAATGAGGAGCCAAACAAATGGTCTAGGCTGTTGTTGTGGTTTAACCCCAGCCAGCAACTAAGCCCCACACAGCTGCTCACTCACTCTCCCCTGGTGGGATGGGGGAGTGAATTGGAAGGGTAAAAGTGAGAAAACTCGTGGAATGAGGTAAAGACAGTTTAATAGGTAAAACAAAAGGTGAGCACGCAAGCAAAGCAAAACAAGGAATTCATTCCCTACTTCCCATCAGCAGGCAGGTGTTCAGCCATCTCCAGGAAAGCAAGGCTCCATCACATGCCCTTCCTTCTTCTTCCCCCAGCTTTATGTGCTGAGTATGATGTCATATGGTATGGGATATCCCTTTGGTCATTGGGATCAGCTGTCCCGGCTGTGTCCCCTCCCAGCTTCTTGTGCCCCCCCAGCCTCCTCGCTGGTGGGGTGGGGTGAGAAGCAGAAAAGGCCTTGACTGTGTGTAAGCGCTGCTCGGCACTAATGAAAACATCCCTGTGTTAACACTGTTTTCAGCACAAATCCAAAACACAGCCCCATACTATGAAAAAAATAAACTCTATCCCAGCCAAAACCAGCACATCTATGAAAAGGGAATTTTTTTGGTGTTTTAAGAGCCAGCACTACATCTAAATGCAGTCTAAGTTGATTGAATAGCTTTCCTGTAATAATCATGAATGGTGTTAATAGAACTAATACACTGTTCCGATGCTGTCTATACAAATATAACTTTGCTTTGAAACACTGTTTTCTCATGACTGCTGAACACATTTGCTTAAAACTTTAATACTCGATCCACAGCCAAGTGACCTTCTTATCTTCTTTGCTCTCTGGTAGCATGCTGCTACGTGCTACAGCAAGGAACTGACTTACGTGTAAAAGGTATCTTAGTCTGTAAAAGGTATCTGACTGCTTCCTGTGTTCTGTCCTTCAGGAATGTCCAAAGAAGATGCAATGAAAGCTTACATAGCAAAAGTGGAAGAACTAAAGGGTAAATATGGCATCTGAGGACTGGACATAACAGCCACTTGCACACCTGAAACATGCCTTATTTCTAATACTGTGGAAAACTGGTTTCTGAGAATAATTTTAAATACCTAGTATGTTATACTCGGTTCTCTCCATGCCTGTAGTTCAGGGGAAGTTGTGTACCCACCTAATGTACTGACACGATATAAATTCCTTCTGGGAACAAAATCTGGAACTCATTAAAGTGCATTTAGTACTTAGCTGTTGTGATGCTCATCCCTTAATTGCCATGTTGCAGCTGTCAGATGCTTCTTTGAAAGGCACAAGCCAACCTCTCCAGTCCTTGTGCCACTAGAGGGGGCTCAGTAATCTGTGTTTTGTGCAACGGGGGCTTGTGTTCAAACCAATCTGGTGATGACTGATACTGCTTTGCCTCCTTTCTCACGTAGATGATTTGCAACCACAAAAGCTGGAGCACCACAAAGATTATCGTGAAGAGGCTAGGTCTAATGCTGTGTATGCCAAGAACAAGGTGCTTGATGCTTGTTGCCTGGGGCTTTCAGAGACTTAGTCAACAATTGCCAAATCATCTTGCATAAAACACTTCTTGGAGATGTTATTCCCCAACAACAATGTCAGGGTTCTGGAGAGAAGGCAAATACTTGGCAGCTGAACACAAAACCTTCCCTGTGAAAGAAAAAGTTCTACAGACAGCAGAGTTGTTGATGCCCTTGATACTACACTGCTGCAAATACAGAGCGCTGGTGTTGCCATGTACTGAGGCTACAGTGAGGGGTGACCAAATATAGATTGGCTTAACGCTTACAAGGCTGTTCAAACAGGAAGACTTACAGTGTTCATCAGCAAAAGTTTTGTACAAAACACATAGTTGTGACCATCTCTAGTAGGCCTTTAGCTATTTCTGTCTGCCTAGCATAGTCTGTTACAGTTGCTGAGGGAAGAAAGGGAAACTTTGCTTTTAAAATGTGGCACTGAACTATTCCAGCATAGAGCATGTGAGAATAAAGTCACATCCTTATACAGGAATAAGGCATTCTAATTCCTGCAGTACTGGTTAGCATTTGAACAGGAGAGGACTTCAAATCAAACTGCTTTCAGTTAAGCAATCGACTTACAGAAATACATAGGGATGAAACCTATCATTACATATGTGTCTGGGTAAATACATAGTTCTGTACTAAGTTACACAGGCTTTGCTGTGTGTAGTATCTAACTTGTATTTTCTTATGCCACTGGTAAGAGATGGAGATAACTTTACCTCACATGCTTTTGAAAATTATAACTTCCCCCTTTGCTACTTTTAATGGGAAGTGCCCTTGGAGCTACTTGTTCAGCCTTTAAAATGTGTTAGGATAAAGAAGGGTTTGTTCCCTATTCTCATAAGGAAAAAGTTTGCTTATTCTTGTTCTTCCCTGTTCTGTATAAGTAATATAAGCATTTGGGTGTTTTACCTCCTCTTGTATCCTCTGTTAGTTATTTGAGGTTGTGTTGATGATGTTCACCTTGCAAAAGAGGGAGAAGAGCAGATGTTCAGCATAAGAGATTATTTTAGCTCTTTGCCAGCCCTAAATTCCACGGCCAGCTCCATCTTCACAGCTGTATTTTGTGAAGCTGGTTATCCTTGGAGGATTCTGCCAACCTGTAGCAGAATGTAACTTACACTGGCAAATGCTTCCACTTCTCTTGTTTGCTGGAAGCTGATGTATTGTAAGCATGCTGTGCTTTGCTAACATGCTTTCTGTCAAAACACTTTTTCAGAATTTTTGAATGCTAAAGTAGTGGAATTGGATTCTGTCTAAAGAGTGGGCTGGGAGTAGCCAGTTCTATATCCCAGTCCTCTTTTGGCTTTATTTCCCTTGTGAGACTTAACTAATGGTTACAGTGCTGTTCTCCTTTCTCATTCCTGTCTGGCATTAAGAAAACATTGCTATGTACACAGTGCTTATCCCAGAGAGGAATTGGTCTTGGGCAGACTTTTATACATCACCTTGTACTTAAAATTAATGCTTTATACAAGTGACGAAGAACTCTACCTTGAATGTCTTTATTTGGATACTTCTTGCTTGCAGCTTCACCTTCCTTGGGAAAGTAACATCAGTGGTCTTAACTGTTTGGACTAAGCTGAAAAATTCAAGTTTCATGGAAGTAAGAGCTATGCAGCGAGAGACTGCACTAAGGCAGAAACAAAGATACTGATGTTTGTGCACAGTGTTCGTGACAAAGCAGCAACACAAAAGCTGGCTGCACAGCCATTAACTGTGGATACTACCACTGCAGGGAGAGTGTTGAAAAAGACTGAACAGAGTCAGGGCATGGTTGTTTAGCAGCAGGGTGAACGTCTGTAAATGCATGGGATGTTGGGCTGTCTGAAAACATTGCTGACTTACTGACCACGTAGTGCTTGCTGGTATGGAAGATGAGACTCCTGGGCTGCATGAATAACACTTTGGCAGTGGTGATGGTAACAAGAGTGGCTTACGGACATCTACAAATAGATTTGTAGGTAGAGGTAATTGCTTTTATTAAACTAATACAGTGGTAAAAATAGACAACCATTAAGGTATATAGCCTTCAGATTTGAAACAGAAGCAGCAAGCCTTTAGCCAAAATATGACTTCAGAACCACTGTTCTGCCTGTAATAAGGTAGTCTGGGTGGAGGAACAGATGTTTTTGATGGCTGGGCAGTGCTGCAAAACGGGATTGTTCTGACACCCATTCAGGGAGTTGCTGTTATTTCCTCTGTGTTAGATCAAAGAAAGGCCAGCAACATCCTGATCCTTGCAGTGCTTGCGAAGGGGAGAAGACGTGCGCTGAAACAAGCCCAACAGGCAGGAGGTCAGAGGCCAGCTGGCACGCGTGCACTCGGGTCTGGTTTGCTGAGTTTGCAGAGTGTGCAGGATGGAATCTGGACTTTGGATATGGCAATAATAAATGTTAACTTGCATCTGTGATAAGACAGTGTTCCTTCTACTATTAGTTCTTGCACAGAGAAACTAGTTGATTGGTACCCAGTAAGATTAGAGATAAGCTGTAAGGGGGATGTTGTTTTCCTTGGGTGTTTTTTTTCTTGTGGGTTTTGCTTGCTCTTACCGAACATATGTGAAGGTGCAACACCCCTAGCACAGATTTAACAAATCAGTATTGGTGAGCTCCTTAAGGCCCAAAACAGATTTTTCAACCCTGCAAAGTTAAGTTTTCTGTTTGACTGAAAAGGACTCCGAGGCTGACTGCAGTGTGCAACTATCTTTCTGTCAAAATTCTTCAGTCCTCATCTGGAGTGATCTTGTTTCACAATGCAAGTATTTTAACCTTTGAACTTACTTGACCCTGATGATACTGCTAAAAATAAATGACAATTGTATTTGCAGTTGTTTAAAATATTTGCTCTGCCCCCTGAGTGTTCAGAGCAAACAACATTGGGCAATACCACTTTGGGGTGATTGGGCATCTGAGCCGTCTTGTGGGATTGGTGATGTTGATTATAAATTGGGGGAGACAAGAAAGAAAATGCATTTTGGCTTGGATAGGTTTCTAAATACCACAGCTGTCACCCAAAAAGGATTATGCAGTCTTCCAAGTTGTCAAAGCTGCTTAGAGGTGAGACAAGTTGATGTTACATAGACATAACACATTTGAGAGAGGGTCACAGTAATAAACTTAAAAGTGTAAAAGTTGATAGAATAGAACAAAAGATAGAATCTGATTCCTGCCTCCCCCCCGTAATGGTTTAACCCCAGCCGGCAACTAAACCCCACCCAGCCGCTCGCTCACTTCACCTCGGTGGGATGGGGGAGAGAATTGGAAGACTAAAAGTAAGAAAACTCATGGGTTGAGATAAAGACAGTTTAATAGGTAAAGCAACAGCCGTGCACACAAGCAAAGCAAAACAAGGAATTCATTCCCTACTTCCCATCGTCAGGCAGGTGTTCAGCCATCTCCAGGAAAGCAGGGCTCCATCACGCGTAACGTGAAGACAAATGCCATCACTCCAAATTTTTCTTCCCCCAGCTTTATGTGCTGAGCATGATGTCATATGGTATGGGATATCCCTTTGGTCAGATGGGGTCAGCTGTCCTGGCTGTATCCCCTCCCAGCTCCTTGTGCACATTCCCCTATCCACAAGTATATGAAGTATCTTCAGACTCAGATAACTGATCTAGAAATTAGCCAATCTTCAGCTGCTCATTTCAAGTGCAAATAACATTGATCGATTCTAGGCATGAGTCTGTCTTCATTGTTTGTAAGATGAGCTTGTATTTCCTCTAGAACCAGCATATCTGTGAAAGTTAAACACAGCTTGGTTGTGTTATTCTAGAATAGAGAATTCATGTGGAGTTTGGCTGCAGTGGTCTTTTAACTTTAATTCCCATTTCCACCTGTGGCTTCTAGATTTTTGGTTAGTCCCAGTACACATACATTTATTTTTCAAGGTCTGACCCTCTTAACACTTGCTAGAGCTGACTCATCTCTTACAACCATCCTGCCATCCAGTGTAGTTTTAAAGCAATCCTTTGCTATCTCAAGAATACCTGAAGATGTACAGAGTTGTTTTCAAAATCATTCAGCATGTCTTGCCTTTGAAGTTTGAAAGCTGTCCTACACTTTAGACTGTCTAGAATAATGGAGAAGCCATTCAAAAATACAGTATCATTAATGAGTGTGGGCCTGAGGAGGAACAGCTGGTTAAAATTCCTGGAGCTTGTTGAGCTTATGAAAGAGGTGATATGAAAAACTGCCTGGAGGTGGAATCAGTGGCTCAACAAATCCCTTCCAATCCTTATGTTAGCGAGGATTACTTTAGCTCTAAGTACTGCCACTGCAATGAAAAGCTCCTTATTGTTACATAAAAGAGCCCAGAGCCCGCACTGCAATATCAAATGATCTCTCTACTCAGTCCAACTGAGCAACCAAGTCAGTCGGTTCTAAGCCAGGAGCTTGTTCTGTTTGCAAGCCTGCATTGCCTCGGACAGGTGATTCCACACCCTGGAAAGAAGGAAAATGACATTACTTGGCTAAT